CGAGGGCTGCCGGCCCGGCCAGGCGGCGGCGGCTTCCCAGGCCGGCGGGGCGCGCGGCGATGCGCGCGGGGCGCAGCTCTGGCCGCAGGGCCCGGCCCCGGAGGGCGGCCCGCGCGACAGGAACTTTCTCTTCGTGGGAGTGATGACCGCCCAGAAGTACCTGCAGACCCGCGCTGTGGCCGTCTACAGGTGAGCCCCAGGTTCCCGGGCACCTCCTCCTGCATCCAGCATCCCGGCGGGCGGCCCTGCAGATACTCCCGTGGCTCATGCCGTTGCCTGGTTCCCAGAACCTAGGCTTCCCGGGTGCCCCTCGGGCGATGCCAGGCGCGGTCAGAGGCAGGATGGTGAGCGCAGCGCTCAAGAGCTTTGGGGTCTGATGGACTAGGGTGGCCCCTCTGGGCGGGGTCCTCACCCTGACTGTGCAAAGCACTTCACCTTTTTTCCTTTGTTAAGCCGGCCTGGCTGTATCTCTGTCCTAAGGTTGTTAGCAAAAACGGTTAGCACAATCCCCGTGATAGTGGCGGCCGTGGTGGTTATTATTTGATTCCCTGAAATCTGCACCTTTGCCCTTGCACAACTAGGGCCGATGTAAATTAACCTGGTTAGTCCCCTGTCTTGGCATACGTGTAGATTTCATCGTTGGCGGCACTCCTGTGAATGAAAGGGGGTGCCACTGCACACTGACCACACCAGTCTGCTGAGTAAATGGAAAGTGAACCTTGGGGAAAAGCAGTTCCTGGCCCATGATAGATTTGGTGTTAACTAGCCCAGTTTAGTGATGTTATCCAGTGTCTGGGCCCTGGTTGGCCACATGAGTCATAAAAGTGGCTGGAATCAAGTTCAGGATTAGCAAAGGGATTAGCCAAAGTAGTCTTTAGAAGAGAGATGACTTGGGAATGGCAGATTTATATTGGAGAGAATTTGAGGCAGAAGAGGGGGATAGATTCCATCAAGGGGTGTAACGGAAACCTTACACGTGTGAAGTACAGAAATGCTTACTGTATGGGTAAGATGTGAGATTCATCCAGCCCAAGAACAAACCAGTGCCGGTAGGTTCTCTGGGAACACACTTTTCGAGCCGTCAGTGCTGAGCAAGGCAGGCTGGTTGCTGCTGCTGGTTCTTAATTTAGAACCAGTGTCTTTATAACTTTAGCTTTTAAATCCAGCCCTGATCTGAATTTTCAGGCATTAGATGTTGTGAGGGGAAACGCCTGTGTGGATCACCAGTCCTCCCAGGGAGGAGGCCGAGGATTGACAAAGAAGATGAAAGAGCAGGAGAGAATGTCTGCCCTGTCAGTGCCATGATGCCCACTCCTGGGTGTTTCCGTTAGGACCTTGTCTAAATGCAGAGCTCAGGTTCTGCTCAGAAGGGTCCCAAGTGACTGAAAAGCTTAGAATGCAGCTCGTGTAAATGTAGAGGAAGGTCTCCATTTGGGAACCTGCAAGGTTTTCTCCCAGATCTACTATGAATGACCTGAAGTTTTATGCAAATTGTGCTTTTTGACAAAAGAAATATTCACATGGGAAATTGAGGGTGAGCTATATAAATTGGTAATGGCATGGCTTTAAGAGTAAATCCACATGACTGCAATTTGATGACAAGCCCTGTGAAATCACAACTTTGGGGACAATTACCAAAGTAATTTTTCAAATTGTAGATGCTGTGACTCCTTGCCCCCCAGACAGATACATTTTCACGGATACAAAATCAATATACACAAACCAGTAGGGGTCCTGTTATACCAGCAGTACTCAGACAATGTAGTGCAGACTGGACCTACTCCTTTACACTTGGAGATGACCTTGTCCTAGAGCTCTTTGACCCTTGTCCTTGACCTCTTTTGGCCTTTTTCAAACCTCCTACCTCATCTTTTTTGGATGTATGATTTTATCTCATTTGTTTTCTTTCAGGCAGTTTGGGGAAAGTAGAAACACTGTGTGCCCTCTGGCCCCGGTTCTTCCCTCCTTGTGACAAGTCTGCCTTTCTGATAAAGGCAAACCCTTTCCAGGAAAGATTGTATCCTATCCAGTCCTGCTGTCAGCGTTCTGGATATCTTTTATCTCTCCGATCTTAAGTTACAGTTACTTGGAGCCTGAGGGTGGACCTATGCTGCCTGTTAAGGCCCTCAGCTTCTCAGCTATCAACCCTGTGTTTTAGACTGGCTGCAGGCGATGGCACAAGCCGATTTTAGCCTTGAGGAATTTTAGAGGCAGGCCTGAATGGGGAGGGAGGTTCTAGGGTGGAACTTATGATTATGGCTTTGCTGTGCAGCCCAGGCCCAAAGTCCACACTCAGCTCTGAAATTGGACGTGCCCTGCCCAGTTCAGTATACAAGTCCGTTTAATCTCGCATGAGGTAGAACCTGGTCTGGCACTGGCTGTGCTGCGTTTTGCATGTCCCCTAAAAGACAGATTCATTCTTTACCTTAGGAAAAAAACACCAATGCTTTTTGCTTTTGTTTTTTTAAATAAAATTATTATTTTACTTGTAAGTTGAAGGAGATGCCAACGTTTTAGTTAGATGGTATACTTTTATGTCAGGGTATTGAAAATTTCAGGATGTAGGTCTAAGAACTAGTAACTGTCTGAGGTCCAGAAAGGAGCTTACACATGAAAAAGCCTTTGAAAAAGTCAAGACGATATGCCTGTCTGCCCTAAAGTTAGTGCATTTAATGATGGGACGGCCCCATCACTACGGACTTTTCACTTTCCAGACCTGCCATATGTCCGAAGGGAGAAGACGGGCCACCAAGAGATCTTAGCAGCGCAGTGACAGTCGGCAGGCAAGAAACAGATTTTGAAAAGCAGGCAAAACAAAAGTCAAGTGTAGCCGATCAGGCACTGGCCAGGGCTGACTAAGTGCCATGGCCCCGAGCAGACAACACGTTCACAGGAATGACCCTGAGTCATCAAAATGTCCAGATACCCGTCCTTAGGCTTTGTGCCTTTCCTCAACAAATACTACATGGGTGGCCCCTCCGAATCCAGACTCTGAGTGTTGGGGACACAGTAAATTTGCCTGTTATCCTGGAGCTGCTGTTCTAGTGGGAGGGACACACTAAAAAGAGGGTTTCAGTTAGTGATGGGTATGGAGGAAATAGAACAGGGTAAGGGCAGGTTGCGGTGGCTTCTCTATTAGGTGGTTGGGGACGTGGTCGGGGAGGCCTCAGAGAAAGTGGTGTTTGGGCTGAGATGTGATAAAGAAATGAGGAACCCGTTGTTGTGAATATCGGTTGTGTGAATATCGCTGATGACCACGCAAGGCAGAGGGAAGAGCTGACAAGTTCAGAGGCAGGAACCAGCTTGGAAAGGAACCGGAAAAGAAACAGGACTATTGGCCTGATGGCATCGGGTCTCCTGGGATCTTATTCTAAGTGAATTAGAAAGCCTTGGGAGGGTGTAGGCTGGAAAGGGAGGAGATTGCATTAAGTTCTGAAAAGGTAATTCTGCCTCCTGTGGAGAATGGATTGTAAGGAAGCAGGGACATGCTAGGAGACGGTCCAGGTGGAGGTGAGGGTGGCTGGGGCTAGTTGGTAGCAGTGGGGATGGAGGTAGGTGGGTGTTTCCTTGGGTATATGCTGGAGCCAAAGTACAGGATGTGCTGATGGAATGCTGGTGAGGGATGAGCAACTAACCAGCGATGACGGCCGGGACGTTGTCTTGGGAGACAGGGTGGGTGGTTGTGTCATTCATTGAGATGGAGAAGACTAAAGGAGGAATAGATTCGTGGGAAGGAGGTGAGTCAACAGAGATCTGGTTTTTATACAGGAAGCATTTTAAGAAAGCGTTTAGACACAGGTGGGTGTATCCGTCTTCAGTAATGAATTTAAAAAGGAATTGAGAAAAGATGTACATCTGAAGTTATGATTGTGACTTCTGAAGCTATCTTAAATGAAGATTCCTTGAAGGTTCTGGGTAGCTGGGGTGCTACAAATAAACATATAAAAGAATTTGTTTCGATTCACCTGCAGAGTATTTGTATTTTAGGTAATCTCACTTTAAAACGGTACCTTGATTCCTCCAAAGTGATTTACTAGGCTGGTTAGGGACCTGGGTTCCTAGGTGCAATTCATATTTTTTATTTTTTCTTAGTGATGTTGTTTGATAGAAGTTAAATCTTCATGTAATTCAACCTTTTTCTTTCTAATTTTAGAGGCTTTTTGTTTGTTTTTCTCCTAAGCTCAGAAAATTATTGCCTTGGAGAGATTTTTAAAAGGTAATTTTATTTCTAGTTCTAGAAGGGGTAAAATCATGTCAACCTCATTTCCCCGCAACTAGTGCATTGCCTCGGCACCATCTGTTGACTAAGTTCCCGTTTTTCTGCGAGTTAGAAATGCCATCTTCTTCACACTCAGAAATCCTGGGTATGTTTCTGGACTTCCTATTTTGTTCCATTGATCTTTCTGTCTGTTCTCATGCCAGTACCACCCACTGGAATTATTGGATGTTGGATAATATTTTAATATCCGGTAGACAAGTGCCCTTTTGTTATTCCTGTTTCAAACATTCCTTGGCTACACTACACCTGTTCTTGCTGGGAGAGTTTTGATGCTATTTGGATTTTTTTCCCCCCAAAATAATGGTTTGATAAAACGCATACAGACTTAGCTTTTCAGTCCATTTTTATGCCCAGAACATTGAGCAAATCCAACACCTCCTATTTGTCTTGATTCTTACCTGCCCTGGGCGGAACATGGGGAACTGTTTTGTTCGTTCTTTACTTTCTCATAAGAAAGAGGCGGATGGTTTCCCTTCTTTGCCCCGGGAGCGATGAAGGGCACCATTAAAGATTAGCATCAGTCTGTAGGGAATTGTGGGAAGAAAGTTTGAGAAACACTAGCTTTAGATACTGGAATCTTATTGCAAGATGTTGTTATACCGGTTAATGGCCTCTTCCTAATGCTTTAGATGAAAGCAGGCTGTTCCTTTACCAAGCCTACTGAGCAAATCACAGAGTACCTATCCTTATTTCTGGGACCTGGTAAACCATATTTACCTTGAAACAGGTTAGAGCAATAACGTGCTTTCTCAGATGGAATTCAGTGTGACAGAAATGTGCCGACAGACTTCTGTAGTCCCAATAATCAACCCGTACGTGAACGTTCGGAACCCAACCCTTTTCATGTCATGAAGTACCTGTGTAAGAAGACTCGTGAAAAATGGGGTCCTGAAGGTGAGTTTCGATTTCT